TTATTCCTCCTATTGCTTTCGAAATACATGTATTCAACCCCACTTATGCCTTCTACTACCCCATTGGAAGCCTCGGGACGCTACAACATGAACAAAGTATTAAATTAACGAAACCGAGTTTGCTTTGGTGCTCACCAATTTGGCGCCCTCAGACTTTCTATTTGGTAATTAAAAGCACTGCTGATTACTTGTTTTCAAAGAGAATGGGTGTAGCTGGGATCAAACATAGCCTATAAGGTTATCGAACGCTTAGGAGCGAAGTAACCCTTAAAGCGAGCATCACTCATACAAGCACCCACATAATTGGAGTTTTGAACTCTGTGTATTGTAAATTGAAAAAAAAACGTACTCAAGATTAGCAGCGACTGAGTTATACGATTTGCATGCGTCCTCATAATGCTCATTACTTCAAAATTAAGCTTCGCAAAAGTGACTGTTCCCGAAACTCGTTGAAAGTATTTATGTATGTTACTGTAGGAACTGCCTCCTTACCCTCATGCCTTTAAACCACCGACTTCGAGAGAGGGTTAGTTGAAATCGATTTATTAGGCATTGGATACAGGAAGAGTAAGGGTAGGAGTACGAATGAGCCGAATAGCCGATATCACCCGGAGAGAGATTCCCCACGGTCTCCAGGCACGGGATCGTGTTCTAATTCGGTTCCCGCCTCTCTACTATATAACCCAACTTAAACATTTTAGTGTATCTTACATTTTATTGCAGGAAACCTATTATATCAAGACCCGATAAGATACCTTGCTGAGCTCTTACACTTAAATATTTATTGCATTTATTAGAGAGCTGTGTTCGCATGAAATTATTCGGCTGTGAAACGAAGTAAACACCATGTATTTACTTTTATTTGACAAGTTTTCTTCTGTGCAGTTTTAAACAACTCATTTACTGCGTAGACTAGTTGACTCTCTCCATCCTAGTATCGGTTTTGTTTTAACTGATTTTAATTACTTGTGGTAGCTATATCTTTTTATTTGATCTTAATCGTGCATATACTGGTTTGGATTCAGCTTAATGGAAGAGGAGAAGGAAGCTCCTCCGGTAACTCATTGGCTTTTTTTATTTCAAGCAATAGTTTGAGCAACCTGTGCTGGTTGAGGAACCTTTGGATTTGATTAGACTGAGTCTGGACGAAAAAGTATTTGTGAAAATGCGTCACAATAGAGAATTGGTCGGCGTTCTTCATGTGAGTCTAAGTGATTTTGTGGTACCGACGAGGCGCTTTTGCAATTGTTTCTTTCTCTTGCCTCTACTTCGGGTAATATGTCAGCGGCGATTAAAAGTAATTTGTTACTGATTAAGTTTTGGTCAGTCCATATTCATGATAGACTTATTTACATCCCAATAAAAATGCTCATGCCATTCATTAATAATGATGCTAGGGTTTCGATTCTCATCTCAATTTGATCCTTGGTAATGTCGAAGAGACGCTAACAACGTTAGAACTCGATGAGGAGACCTATGAAGAAATCTACAAGGTAGTTTGCTTGTTCCTTTCTCAGTGTTTCTAGACGACGAAAAGGAGTATCCCTTTGCTTTTTGTCCGAGGTGACGGCATCATTCTCATATCCCCACCACAAGCTGAACAATAAAAGTTTTCTTTACAGTTTTTAACGCATTGATGTAATAAACGGAACAACTTGTACAGGAAGTCATTTCTCGCAGTAGATCAGCTCTGCCTGGTTCCATTCAGCATTGCTGAAGCCCAATTTGGCGATCTCTTCGGGACTCATAAGGTTGTTGGCCATGCGGCAGCGCAGGTAGGCAGCAGATTCGGGGCGGCATTTACCGCTGTCCCAGTCGTGGTTTTTCATACAAGCTACCCACTTGTCTCGCATGGCTTTGCACACGCCCATATGGTCCAGGGGGAAACTGCCCTTGTCTGGAGGTTTGACCTGATTCCGCGGGTTCGCGAATGCCCTCACATCTCCCATTTCGCCTGTACTGGCTTAGGAAGAAAATACACTGTGAATTCTATAATCATAGCGCCTTAAGATGCATAATACTTTGGGGATGGTGGGACATCGTCTTTGGGAAAGCACCAACTAGCTGACTTCAAGGAATGGCACCTTAACGGATGGGATACACATCGGCAAGGGATGCTGACTTCAATGAGCACTCCTTGCAACCTGGTTAGAGGAGTTCCAACACTTGCCACGGACTAGGTTCGAGAAGTTCTGTTGCTATTCTGACGCGTCTGCGGGATTAGTCGCCCCCCCACAAAGTGGAATTCGTGATGAAAGCGCGCTGCCCTGATGGAGTGGCAGCTTCATTTAATCTTCAACAAACTACCGTTACCGCGACGTGTACACAGCTCTAATAAGCATCTGATACGATCCGGACAAGTTTGTAAGTTCAAATGCGAAGGTATCGTATTTCTCAGGTTAAAGATGACCACATGACTCCTAGGCAAGTCGAAATTGTCCCTGTACTTTGGGGGAACATGATTCCAATTTGGAAATTAACGATAGCGATTAAGGAGAATTAATCGTTACCAAAGAATGCTAAATCACACGCAAACATGCAAGAAAGTAAGTCTAACTAATAGCTTGAATATTGCTGCAAACAATTGAAAGCGAATAGACATAGAAAGAAGTAGGAAGGTGCAATCTTTCAACGTCTTTGTTACTGAAAACTGAGACGGAGGCGAAAATAGAACGGAAGGAACTGAAGTATGTATGGATTTTAACATTAATACGAGTTGTCAATTTAATACGCATTTCAAGTGATTTTAAGGTGGTATAAAGAGATCAGAAAAACAATATACCAAGCGAAATTTGCGGATGGTAAGCACAATGAGTTAACTCAAGCAACACGTTCGTATGTAGCGTAGAATGCATACGGAATTATCAACTTCATGTGAGTATACCTCCTCTCAATTGCTTTCCTCCTTGAGTGCTTGTATAGTTAATGAGAAAAAGATAGTTCGAGCCGAAATTCGACACAAAAGTCATTTTTAAACACCCCAAGAGTCCATTTGTTTCGTCTGCATCAATGTGAATAACGTATGATGCGACCATTTTCACACTTCGATATGGGTAAAAATCAATTCCCTTAAAACTAGAAAGTGATAAACTCAAGCAAACTATTCAAATAGGAATGCACAAATCATCTGAGAAGAAGCACAGGATGCGTCTAATAAAACATGAATCTACGTAGTAAAGGTGGGATCATCTATAGCTGTTCCGAGACTTCAAATCGCTAAAAGGGATTCCTTCGAGCGACTAAACACAGATGAAGTTGCGGGACAGTGAAGGCAAATACATCGAACAAAAAGGATACCTCTGTTCAGAAATTGAGGCTTCTAGGCACAACCAAGTCGAATAAAACTACTTTCATTAGACAGCACTAACCTCAAAAGCACTAAATGATAAGCAGACATTTACTGTGGATAAGGAATTCGAGCAGCCCATTAATCCTTGGTACTTTGAGAAAGTTACGGCTCGTAAAAGCATATGATTTGCAGATGCCTATGTTACAAGTCAAAAATAAGTACACTGAAGCCAATTTTCAGGAACCCATTATTGGATAGGTGATAGAAGAAAGAAGTGGTTCACTTGATCAAACATGTCGGAGGACCCAAATAATCGTGACCTTCCGGGTCAGGCAGACATGGGGGTGAACATTTGAGTGATTGTAGCATGAATAAAGCTAAAAAAGTAGAAATAATTGACGGTTGAGACATAGTGATTTTAAAATAACTAACAACAAGTATTTGACTCCTTCCTACAGATGCAAAGTACAACAATAGAGAAACTCGCAATAGGGAGTATGGCGTATGATGTGACCGAGAGCGCAGACGGCGATTGGGTCAAGAATACTCATTACTTTATTTGGATGGAAAACGATCCATAGAGCACAAGCTCTTTAATTTTACACACACCTGGTAAAAGTAAATAGGAAATGTAGGCGAAAGCCCAAGATGCATACAAAGCGTCGAAGAAGATTGCCAATGTATAAACAGTACAGAACCGTGTTGGACCAGACTAGGGAATAAAGGAGATAAAAGGGAAGTAGCACGGGTCGCATTCAACAATAGCATGTCGCATTGCTTAGCTCTCAAAGGATCTAGTGGATCAGAAAGTATATAATCTAATAGGTTGGACCATGAGGCAACATAAATGCCGCCAGTAGTCATGCAATTGAGTGAGAAGAACAAACTAGAGAGCATAGTAAATCCAGAGCAAAAAGAAGTTGGTATTCCGTATCCTTATTATCCCCTCGCCAATATTACTTCGAAAGGAGCATGCGGCATAGACATAGCAAGATACTGAGTCTCAGTACATATTTTATTTAATGCACACATCGGTAATGGCATAAATAAGCGTTCGTGATCTCATGCTCTTTTCAACTGCCGTTAGCGATAACTTTTCAATTATGCATAACTCAAGAGCTGTTAATTTTATAAATATGGAGGAAATAGGTGCTACGCTCTATTAAATCTAAGTTTCTGTAATTTTGGAGATTTCGTTTATATTTTTGGAACTTTCGGTGGGCATATCAGTTTGTCTAGTGCTGCTCCTGCGAGCCACGGGGAATGGAGTTTCCTGAACTTGGGAGACACTGTGCTGTCAAATCTTGTCAGATGTTGGGTACGTCCGAATAATTTTGACCGATTATTTTAAGGTGGGGGTAGTATTGACGTAATACTGTTATTTGAAGCATCTGATTTTTCATCAGAAGTTGAAATCACACAAATATCAGTCTAGTGTTGATCTTTATCGTTAATTTTTAATGCAGGCTTTTAATACTAGTGTTTGACGTTATTAAGACTCCTGGAGGAGCAATACTATCTAAACAAACGGCACCTCTTTCCAATGTCTTTCATTAGATATTGCTTTTTGAGGTAGGACCCTCCTTATTTAATTCCAATCTCATTAGCCTAAGAAGTTTTATTGTATCTCAAGCACACTAATCTGCATCGATCATGCATAGCACGCAATCTCACTCGTTTTTCTGAATATGAATATGGCTTCTATAGGCGCCAGCGATTCCAAGGCATGCAATTGAATGGCACATTGCATAACAGTCGGTTTTGGAAGTGTTGTTGATTTGCGTTTTAGATTTTCTACCAGTTAGGTGTTCTGGTTGTAATCAAGTCTTTTGCAAGGAACACTACTTCTTTGACCGTCATTCCTGCCCTATTGGTAACACAAAGGAACGCCAAGTGCCTGTCTGCCCGCTCTGTGGTGTCCTCGTTCCAATTGGTCCCAACGAATCTGCCGACATTAAGGTTGGTCACCACATTGATACAGATTGCAAGTCCCAACCAGCTCTTGCACTCAAAGGAAGAGTAAGTACTGCTCCATTTTTTATCAAGCTTAGTTTCTATTTCTGGCTGATGTTATTCTTCTAACAGATATTTAAGAATGCTTGTTCGGTGCCGAAATGTAAAAAGAAGGAATTGGTTCCTCTGCGCTGTGAGCTATGTCATCTCAACTACTGTATCAGTCACCGAAATGAGCTGGATCACAATTGCATGGGACTTTTAGCAATTTCTGCTAATGGGAAACGAATGTCGGCTTCTGGAGCTGCGGCAATCAAACGCGCTGTTGCTAGGGTAATCGCTTTCTAACTGGTGTATTGTTCCCTTCTGTGATTTTTAAGGGTTGAGTTTTAAAATTGGTTGTTCTACGAAAAACAGATTGAGAAATATCCTGATGTCAGATGTTAATTGATGTTGGTGGGAAGTTCTAGTATGGGGGCTGTGCAATTGACGACTTCATGCATAATAATTCACTCTTCTTTATTTAAGCAATCCAACAACAATTTCAGTGATGACAGTGGCGCACTCAAGAAAGCCCAACAGGAAGAGGTGGACAGACAACTGGCATTGGCGATAGCTGCTTCAATGGAAGCCGAGGAGGAGAATCGCCGGAGACAGCGGCAACAAACATCTGCCTCCTCCGATAACGGCTGCAATATTAGCTGATTTCTAGCGCAAAAAAAAAAATGCATCAAGCAGTCGCTAAGTCTGCTGCGTCTATCGCTCCCTTTTGTTTCATTTTTCTGTCTTCTTTACCCCACCTACTTTTTCTTTCCCAACTGCAATGAAACTTCGTGTTTGCCTGATTTTTTAGGAGAACTATATTTTTTGACAAGATTACTATTTTTTCCTGGGATATTAATTTTATCTCCTGAGAGGATAATCATCCAGAACAGAACGGAATGACACAACCATCAGAAATTGCTAATGTCACTCAGAATACGGCCTCATCGCCATTGTAATTCTGTGGCAACTTATTATAAAAGCATTTCTTTCCCAAACGCCTGCACTTCAATCGATCACCGTTTGATTCGGCCTGCCCTAATCCGAATCACACCCCATACTAATTGAAGGATGAGGTGACTTCTGCAGGGATTAGGTGATGGGAAGACGGCTTGGATGATGGGATCAGCCTAGAATTGTTTCAAGTATTATAGGATTCTGTAAGATGACTTTGTGGTTGTAAGGGGAGAGGAACACCTCTCAATGGCGGGTTCTCACCGAGATATGGCCTGAAGCGTAAGATCAGGTCTAGGGAGATCAAGTATTTTGAAGAAGCCAACGCCAATAACCTCATTACAGTGCAATCATCTCAATCCCAATAAGAGTAAGACAGTGGGTATTCGAGAACGGTAGCAAAGAATTGTTGAAATTTAGCAAAACGGGAGGTTGGTTAGTTATCATCTCCACCGCCAGTCAGACCGGTGTAGAGTCGCAATGGGCCTTTTGAGTTGCTGCCAGCCAAAACACCTTCAAATTCGGCCCGGGTAGGGATGGGACGCCTGGATGCTGCAGTCAATTGTTGTACAAAAGTTTCCATTGAGCCTACAGTAATGCAGAATAAACCTCTTTTAACCTCAAATGGTATAAGCAACCGCAGGGAGCTCAATGACAAATTGAGTCAATTTTGCACCGCAGCAGCAGTAGTCAGCAAAAGAAGAATGTTCCAATGACAATAATGAAAGTAAGCAAGATGGGTATAAAGATATTAGGTCTTGACGAGAAAATGCATGCAAAAATTGCTTGAAATTTACGATGAATGAGAAGCGAAGGAGTTCCATTAAATTTGGGTTAGTGTTTCAGTGCTCATTTTGTACCAAGTGGGACTTACAAGGAGTAAATACGACATTTGATGCGGTGTTTCCAAATGCGGGTCTGAATACGGAAAGGAATAGGAAATAGTATTAAAAATTTTGGTATAAGAAAACAATGAGAGATGCGATTGATAAGTTATGCACCCACCTGAGCACTTAAGGGGGGAAGGGGGATTTTGAGCGGTTAGTTAGATTAAATTCAAGAGGCTAATTGGATTTGAAAAGCGGGACTGCCATTATCCTGACATCGTACCTTGAATACGTTAGTCTATAATGCCTGGTAAATCCTGTAAATGAAAGACTATACACGAGCAAGGGAGAGCAACTATCTAGCTTTGGATTTCCAAAAAGCACACATGCGCAGGCAAACAAGCACACACCAATCCTACTCTACTCACAAATTGGCTCTACGAAGGATCATGAGAAATCCAGAGCCTGTTAGCTAGATAAACTGGTTTTACATGTTTTATCTTTCGAGCTTTTAGACCAACTTAAGCTGCAGAATCAGTGAAAAACTTCCAAAGTGAGCACGAACGTTTCATCGACCACTGATTCCTATAATTAATAGGAATCTCAAAGGAACCAAACCTCAACGCACTCGTTATCAGACAGTAAATTGACTGCTCCGGACCCAGAAATTTTGCCTATTTGGTCACTGAGTTGACGCTTGATTTCAGAGAGAAGAGAGAGAGGACTGCCGGGTATGGGGTGGCCGTTTATGAGAAGACTTTTTGCCTTTGGAATTAGTTTCGAGAGACGTTTGTTTGCAAAAACAACCGCTTCTGCCTTCTTCTTGAAAGTGGCCATCAGCTGGCTGTGGTCTTCTGAGATGTCAGCGTATTGAGAAAGAAGAAATTCTAACTCTACAGCCATCGCCACGGGCTGACTGCAAAGAAGGTGACTGGTACCCGTCTCCTTAGGAACTCTGGAGAAAAGATATGGTTTGAAAAGTATGAGTGAAAGATAAAGAGAGCTGAAGTGAACTCACGGATGTACTTTGATTGTCGCAAGTATGGAGTCGATGGCTGCCTCACAGGCGGAAGATTCCGCAGCTTCGAAGAAGTCCTTCGTCATATGCTCAAAAAGCGGAGCCGCCATCTGAATACGACAAAAATATTTTACTATATAACAATCAATTTTGACGAGGAATTACCAATTCACATTTTATGCACAGTAAAGTCATTTAACCCATATCAAACCTCCATTTACGACGTGCAAAGAGGAGGCTTACTTCGTTTCCGCCGATTAGCGTAGCATCTCTTCGCAAAGGCCAATATCGAGTGCCCCTTTCAACAAGTTGTAGAGCTATGAGAGTAAACATGAACAAATAGGTCCAAAATATATTTTTTTTACGATTCTACAAACGATTCCCTCGACTAACCCTTCGTGTAAAACAAACTCCTATACACCTGGCAATGAATTTTTTTGCACTTAAAATTTCAAGGCTTTACGGAATTATAAAAAATCCACAAGTGAACATTCAGAACACATCACCAAACTTGTGAATGATTACTGTTGTCACGCATTTTAAGTCCTAAGTTGCAAACAATTCGACTCATCACTCTTTAGCGCAGGAACATCAAGCTTCAAAATGATATCATTCGCACTCCACAGCAAAGCTCATTAGACATGGTTTTCACTAAGCAAAAACAGCCACATACCCCTGACCTTGGGAGTAATAGTATATGCAGAGTTGGCCGAAGCAGGCGCCAGTCTAGCCGGAAGAAGGAAGTTCTTAACGAAGTCAGCAACGCGAAAATCAGATTCTGAAGTCTCCATCTGGCGAGCGGGGAGGGTGGGCAGAATGGGTGGATGTGAAAGGGATGCAGGAGTTGCCAGTACATGGAGATACATCACAGAGCCATGGCAGAGGAGGAGAAAGACGTCCGCTGAAGTCTGTGGGCCTTCTGGCGACGCGGAACCGCGGTAAAGATTATGCGCCAGTACTACACATCTACCTAGAGACGTAAAAGTTCACATGGGCAAAACTCGCAAACATGAAGGAATAAGCAACCTTATTTGAAATGTTCCATGAAATGGACGTGCAACGAACTGAATTACCTCCTAAAACGAACTGCGATAAGCAGACAGAAGATCGAGTATTCACAGCTGCCATTGTCACCCTAAAGGCTCCAACGCTGTAGCGAATCAGTACTAAAAATGCATGGTGAGGACAGAAAATATAAGCGATGAGATTAAATAAATAACAACTCATTGTGTATTAATTGTAACTGAATTTAACTTAATGTACTCCAACCCTACTCAACACTTTTATCTTGTAAAATCATCAGCAAGCTAAGTAAATCAACAAAGGTATGTTGTGATACTACTGGAAAATTATACCTCTTATAATGTAAGGAACCTTAAATGATTAATCATACTAACTAACCATTGTGGCAAAATATTTTTGAGACAACCAAGTGAATCACCCTTATATAATGACAGCAGCTGCAAAAAATTAGAGATCATTTCTCTTTAGACACCTGTACATTTCAAGGGGCACAGCAATCTTGATACCCTACCGCACTGGTGTGCTTGGAATAACTCAATACAGTCAAATAATTTAACCTCATGTACAATCTACTGTACATTAGACTTCTTTTAAAGAATTCAAGGCAGCAGTCCCAGGAGAGACTCTCATTAAGCCCTTTTTTAAGAGTTTAAGTAACCAGAAGTTCCTAACCTACCACAATGACATAAAGTGGAATTATCAATTAGCCAATGCCGTGACCTGATAAAATTGTCCACTTATTTGATTCTGCACTTTGAGATCAAAAGAACGCAACAGTGAATAGTAAATATCCCCGGAGAGACGTGCGAACAAGCTCACGGTTATCGACTGGTCTGGGACTAATCCACTTGATTCCCAGGGTTTTAGAGAACCCGGAGGAAGGCTCTTGAAACATTGACTTGCCAGACTCTTGACGCAGATAGAGACGTTCAGCAAGGCCTAAACGCTGCAGAAAGTCATGGGCTTTGGATTCATGCAATAGCTCAACGCCATACATAGTTGAGACGGAGTCTGCGTTGGCTTCCTCCTTCATAGGAATCTCCTGAACGAGAGTGCTCGCCAAACCAAGATTGCGCTCCGCCAAACGCATGAGAGCTCGCAACACAGAACGGTTATTCTTTACAGGTATCCTCTGATACAACATCTTGTGATTTTCCGTTGCCATCAGCTAAAGCATGGTAAGGATTTGTGAATAAAAAACTGAGTTCACGTTTAATAAACATACTTCATTCTCTTCGAAATGTTCATCACTGGAAGTAGATAAGTCCAGATCAATAAAAATCCACTCAGTGCTGTCTATAGGAAGGTAGCTAAGGAAACTATTGGCAAGGAAAATACGCCTACCCAGTTTCCTGAGGCGGCTTCTGCAGTTGTTCTATGAGAATGGGTAACCAGTTGGAAAGCTTTGTCCGCATGTCAGAGCCAACGATGAGTACGCATCCGACATTGCTTGTATCTGGCTGCTGTGTTTGGAAAGGAGTAGGCATGTGTAGAACATTTTTACATGAATACAGACCGGGCATCCCTGGGTAATCTAGATCTACTGAAGCCGTGGAATCACCCTCCGTGGAGAAGGCCTTCCAGACAGCTTCCAGAGACTGGTCTTCTTCATACCACAATGAGAGGATTTTTTCCTCTGAATCCACAGATATGACGGAAATCTATGGTGAATAAAAACAGCAGCATAACAAGCAACGTACTGGCCTAGAGTCGGAAAAGAGATCGAAGGTTATCCGACAGTACTCCAAAACAGCCTCCACAATGAAAGACCAAACATTTCGTTGAATAGAAATCTTTGCATTTGACACCTCTGGTGGCCGATTCGGACCTCTGTCTAATTGGTAAACGTCTCCAAAAGGTTTGTAGACATCCTTTGTCTTATGCATCATGAAAACTGTTTTCGTTGAGTTTGCGAGGACCATTTTCGAAGAAAATGGCAGTCTAAATAAAGGTGACAGATGAGACGATTTCATACTTTTACGAGACAAAACCAGGCTTTCATACAGAAAAGACATGCAAATTACGTGGAATTTCTAGAAGAATTCCAGAAATGCTCATGCACACCCGTAACCCAAAAAATGTTGCATAGATGGAACATGGACATGACACCTTCTAGGCGAATTGTTGACCTTACTGAATGCTGAAAAATAGCCCATCCCATATGCCTACAATTCTGATGTCCTTATTTAAAAGCCACAAATGACAAGTAATGAAATAACTCAGATCCTCAAAACCACCACTGATTAAACGAAGCAAATCCTATATGGCGAGATCTTGCTCCACTTAAAAAGGTGTGACTAAACTACATTTTGGTGTTTCATACAAAACTCCATATGCTCAATGCAGCCAGTAAAACGAGACCGATATTTGTATTCTTACAATGTCACTAAAATATTGCCATAAACTCAATAAAAAACTACTCAGCGTTGCCAATCTGGATCACATAACCAGAGTGTACTGAAGCTAGAATAAAACCTACGATGGATCTAGCACACTGCAAAAACTCGAGATAGTTTTAATTGGTTAAAAGGTAGCAAAGATAAAGGCCGCTGAAGTGAGCAGCTTATTGTAAGAAGCAAATGTAATCCAATGGCAGAAGCAATGTCAAACACATTTGTTATCAAACCTTGTTGAATTATTGCAAGATCATAACAAAACACTTACAACGACAAGTTAACAGATAGAGTAATTTTCGAATCTCAAGTTTTACAGATTGAACTTTTTACAACGTAATCACCGTGTTGGTGATTGAAGTGTTTGCTAACAGTCAGGATTAAAAAGGAAGTTAAGCCAAAGTAAAGTAAATGGTGAACTTACGAGTGCAGCAATAAAAAATACTTAAGATTATGGCAATGCTACACTTATTTGCTACTGAGCTTCTACAATGACTAGAAATATCACTTCTTTTTATCTTTTATAACTGCTTTGGCTTTAAAAACGTATTAGGGAGGGTCAAATCAAACAGTTAAATAATGGTAATACATGTTTTTATGATTTTTCTCTGCACTCAAACAAGTGCCTAAATGTTTGGTGAATCTGGAAATGTGAGATCAGCATTTTCGCCTGCGCCCTGGAGATGACCTACTGGTTACGCTGATAAAAGTTTTGTAACATCAGTTGATTCTTTTACAAAAGTGTGCGCTACGTGCGCATCCCTAAATCTCTACTCGTCTTGATGTATTGTTCTCCCCTTAGAACCATAAACCTCTATATTTCTTCAAGGACAACCAGACAGTAGTTTAATGCTTTCATGATTGGTTTCGCTGCATGTCGGCATGACTTACATCCAGGTATTCCGATACAATATGGCATATTTTACTCAATGCTTCCCCTCACAACACGTAGTATTTTATAAACTTTGAAGCGCTCTTGCGACGTAATATGTTTGTTGCATATTAAGTACTACGCCGATGAATAAACCCTTTGATCGAATAGTATTAATTAAATCCTCTCAGTGCTCATTCGACTGAGAAGGAAGTTTATTAACTAAAGCAAGGAACTCATAAAAGGCATCTGTTTACCTGTTAGCCCCGACACTAGGCGTCAGTCAGCATGATATTTTATTAAATTCGTGAGGGGTTTTAAGGCAAATATCCACGGAATACTTGGCTGCCACAGTAGGTCTTATTGTGTATTTCAAAATTTCGTTAAATGCAAGCATCCTTTTCCCCTCTCTTCTCATCACACAAATTCCTTTCGTTTTTTGCCTTGCACAGCTATGTCAAGACTAATTGACCAGTGTTAACACTTCCTTGGACTGTCAAGCTACATCAGAGGCAAAAGTCTCCACATTCAATCACTGTCTTATGAGTAGGTGTGTGTGTATGTGTGCATGAACATTCACATTGCAGCATCACAGTGTTTTTCATGCCTTGACACCATCACCAGCTGAGCCATTGGTGATAAATAATCATTATCATCAAGGCAGTGGAGTAATTATCATGAATACGCATATACATGCACACAAGTTCTCACACATTCCCATTCTTTCGTTTGTCTTTCTTCCTAGTGTTAATTAATGAGGCGCTGTCTGCACCCATTCTTCACACGAATGGGTGTGTGTTTGTATACTACAAGTAATCTTACACACCAACACAGATGCGGAACACATGCTGTTGCTGGTGCTTTTACCGACAATGCTAGAACATGCAGTGCCGCTCTTGCAAAGATATTTGTCTCATTTGAGAGGGGATTTTTTGACGTGTTTGTGAATTCACATCTCATGGGCGTGTAGTGCAACGCAGCACTTCGCAGAGCTAATCTAATTTGACGCGAGGCATTGTATTCTTCCTTCAGACCTCTTCGGGCACCTACCCAAGAAAAAAGTTCTTCATGTAAACATGCATATTTGTGCCACCATAATAGGATGGAAGTGCAGTTTTGTGAGCGATTGAAACTCTCATCCCTTGTGTGTGATATTTTGAACAACCACGACTTTGAGATCATGACAAAACGGGCTGCTTCGCCTTTTATTGAACCGAATAAGTCTCCTCTCATTGTTTGTAGTTTTAACAATAGCATCTACAGAACAAATTGTTTTGGCCGGGAGTAGTTATATTGATGATTGTGCTAGCGCTTCGCATTATGCTAATCGCAACCATTTCCATCTCTAGGCTAGGCCCTAGGTTAGTTAACTTCGTCAAGTCATTTTCTTGAGAATAGTAAGGCGATAAATCCGCCCACTTAGTTTGTGTGCGGAGTTTCAATTTTCATTAGTAGATTGGCGATCAAGTGTTGCGCAATTTACCAGAATTTATTGGGTAGGATTAATCCAATGCCAAATAGTGCTTTGAAAACCTTGCCCATGTCTTGCGTAAGGGACATTCTGTCGAACACACGATCCTCAACCCTTCATGGATTATGTCTGATGTCAGTTAATGCATTGAAGTTATGCATTGGTTTTCTGTGTCCCAAATGTCCTATTTCTAATGCCTTTATAACCACATAGGTGTTGCTGCCCGAAGCTCTTATTCGTAAAACAAGGGTCACACAAAAAATATACATGAAGTGGGGGACTCTGATAAATAAAAGAAGTAAGTCGATAACTCAGGGTCGTGTCTGTAGTAGAAATAAAAGTATAGAGTTATTTATGGCAAAAGAAAATGTATTTTTGACACAGAAAGGGACAGGATGTACAAACAAGGTTTGGAGGCTTGGTTGCTTCGACGATCGTACTTTGGTGGAGACCTCAGTTACCAGTGCCCACAACGGCGAACTGAACAATTACTTGAACTAGTTCAAAAAACTCAGAAAAAAGTACACAAATATTCTACTAAAGCCAGATAAATAGAATAAACGCACTTTGTCTGGTGAAGTTTATTTGTTTTAAGAAAATAATAGTAATTACTACTGAGTAGCTTATAAGGTCGATTTCCTAACAAGATTTTACTAGCAAACATTAACAACATGGGAAACAACCGAAATGGCTGTACTCTTGGCAGAATTTTCATTTTCTTTTCAGGTCCTTGCAAAAAAGGCGGTAATCCAAAATGACACCCTGTTTATCTGCCAAAGGCTAAATTATTTAGCTTAATGGCCAAACTAGTGTAAAGTTGTTGGTCGCAAAAGTACACTCCTACAGCCCCCATTTGCATTGGTGTTATTTAATTGGCCTTAAGAACACAACGTGGCAAAGTATTTCGCCGTCAGCCCTTTTGGGCGATCCCAAAGCACGCAATTTGTCCCCTTGTTATTTTTCTATTTTTAAACAAATGATCAATCCTGTGCAATAGCCCAAAAGTGTGAACTCAGAAGTCGGAAGGTGTTCCTACGCACTGGCTCCTCCAGAATAAGTAGGAGCAGACGAATACATCAAAGACTTTTTAGTAGTTAACCCCAAGTGCTTGTAGCTTTTACAGCTCATCAATCCTCAATCATCTGTCAAAAAATTTTGCCGCGGTCCGTTTGCCGGAGGGAGAAGCAGTAGCCCATTAATCACTGTGGATGATATGAGCGAGGACTGCAGATGGCCTCCATGATAGATTAATTGAGTGGATCCGCAACGAACACAATTATCTGTTTCATTAACCACACCAATTTTACATTTTGATAACCGTACATAATGCAAGGCAAGAAATTAGCCCGTAGGAACTCCTGAATAAATGAGCAAGCACTGAGAAAGATGGCGGTACTGTGAGCACCACGCGTTTTGTACTGGGACTTCCCGCTGAGGAGAAGAAGGCCTAAGGCAGGGTTGAATGATTATATTCAGGGTGAAGGAGAAGAGATTGGGCTTTGACTCGCGACCTTCAGTTGTCGCCAGCCGTAAACAAAGTACGGCGGGACGTGCAGTGTCAGTGAGTAGGAGGGTCTTGGGCTCGCGGAGACGGGCTCGCAGTTTACGCCGACCGACGCAGATTCAGTGAGGCAGCTAAATCAACTCATTCCCGAAGGTTAAATACAAAAAGTTGAAATGTTGCATACTAACATGGACTATAATTATTGTATCGAGTGATTCAGTGCTCTTCTCAACCGATGTAAGCATTTATTAGTATTTTCATTGCAATTTTTACATATTTTTGTGCATTTCTGAACTGGTGGAAAAAGCACGATGGGCCACAAAACAAGTTTTCTTTATTACTAAACACAGTTTTATGTTTTAAAAACCACCCGTTAATATATCGGTTTCATGAATTTGAAAAGAGAACACCCGCCAATGGTATAGTGTGGGTCAAGTGAGCATCAACTGTAGAACATTTGTGGCTTGTTTAATTCTAGTTTGATTGCACCACTGTCAGTCGTCCAAATCTCTTCTACTCATCGAGCACGACGGCCTCGCTTGCCTTCAGGGAAGTCTCGAGGTGCTACAGTCGTATCACCTTTGCGAAAATGGAGGAGCTCACAAAACTCGTGACTGTACAAACAAACACGATCGACGACTTTGCTTTTTCTTTGAAATTGGCATTGTAGACATTTATGTGTTTGTTCAAACCAATAGGTGGCTCAATTTATTAACGCCTGCTTCTTAACATTTGGTCGTGCCGCCTCCCACATTGGCACAGAAAACGAGTGGGAAAGACACCTTTCTAACCAACTTTTACTTACCCGGTTTTTTATGCTAAACATGGTGATTCAACCTGTATTTGTTACATTAGTGTTAATTGTAAAAATACTTGCAATAGGATGCATACAACAGTTTATGCTCTATTTATACTTTTAACTCTCAAACGAGTCCCAAATGCTCCTTCGTTTTCCATCGCGGTGCATCAGACTGGGGGCTTTTTGCCTCGTGGATTTACGCAACTTAAGTGGCTACAGGGTCTTTCATTTCCAAAAGGGGCAAGCAACCACAACAATGAGGACCAATTATTGGTGGAAGTACCCACTCCTTTGCACCAAACAGTTGTCTAAAATATTCTCAGTTTTATTTAGCGTCCTTTTTGTTGGAAGCGCCCACTACTAGGTGGAGGTCCATTGTTCATTGAATTCTTTCTCCAGATAACTGCCTGTCAAGCAACCATCACAAATGGCGATGCTACTACACATTTCACAAGGCAATCATGCTCCTTGGCTTTGTTTAAAGAATCTTTATGATTTAGCTGTGATAGCTTCGAAGAGAGATGGGTGGATGCAGTTCTCATTTTTCGGAAGTGAATAAAGTTAACCACGCTATCAAGTAAATGTATGGTTGATTTTGAATTTAAGTAGGCATTCACGAAGAGACAAATAAAAAGTTGGCTATAATCTAGTAGCCTTTTTTGAGCACAAAGAGAGTGGTTGAAGAGCCCAAATTTCGAGGCACACTTCATTATGCCAATGCAATCATACTGCAAAAGCTCATAAAATCACAAAATTACTTTAAAGTAATGGGTTTACTACCAAACACTCACATTAGGACCAACCAAAGAGATCTCCTCCATCTGATCCACGTCTCATTTTTTTGGTTGTCGCATTCCTTGTGCACACTTCACTACCCAAATCAAAATCATTTTTTGGTTGCCATCCCAGGAGTTTGTATGTGTAAATTTGCAAAGTTTATTGTACTAACTAGGCTAGTAGCATCGAACAGTTCGTATATGGCAGTTGAGTTTGTGAACAACTTCACCAGATCGTAAGATCCAAAGGATAAGTAAGAAGAAACCCAATTTAACTTTACGGTTGAAGCCCCCGTTTAGTAGCCCGATTCTCCTCGCAGGAACTTTTGTGTATTTGGTATATGTTCCTTCAAAATTAGATAACTATAGTTATTGTAACAATTGCAAGAAAGAGAATGTTGTTTAGGGGCTGCATGCAAATTGCAGTGGCTTGGATGCAGAGTGGTCATTCCCGACCGATGTCCTCCAAGCAAACAGGCCGCCAAATGGGCCTGGGATCGAGACGAGGACGCTCGGGAGCGGTTAGCGAGGGAACACTAAAGTCTGCTTTGCTTACTGGTGCTAAAATTGTGGGCGGTTCTAATAGAGAGGCAGAGGAGGAGGCGGGCGAGGCGGACGGATGCGCTACAGGCTCGCTTGCAAGTGGTATCACTTCTGCCGCAATGGATGAGGAATGACTAAGGACGTGGGAAGGATGGGTGGCCTCGAAGCTGAAAGCATTTCCCTTTTCACGACTCCGTTTGGCTGCTAAAAGATCCCTCTCAAGCTCAGCACATTCACGTTTCTTTTTAGCACGACGATTTTGGAACCACGTAATCACCTAATAAATACAAAAAAACACATTACTTAAACCACAATTTAAAGAGATTTTTAAGTGTCTAAGGGCTTGTTTAGCTTGTGCGTGAAAGTATTTTGTCTAAAAGACTTATGCATCCGTATTGTTAAAATTCCGACCACAATCTGTTAAATCAAGCAGAACATTCATACAGTTTTGTAAGTTTTCAAGGAATGCTAATTGGAACAAAACTCTGTTAGGAATGCGGACAAATGCCCCAACAATTTAGCCTGTTTAGTCAAATACCGTCCCTCCATTAGACAGACAATTCCTAACCGATTGAGGGATGCTGATTGTGCACGTCTTAAAATTCCTTACATCACGTCAAGCAAAGCGAGATAAACAATTGTTTCATGATAATTACTTGTTTACTGCTTGGCCTCGATAATGAGATTCTCTGCCATCGGACGTCCAATCCAGGGTAATGGATTTAAAGCTCGCTCCGCGTCGGCAATACATATTACGGCCACAAACAACATCTGTGATTATCGCCAGAGCAGTATCAATGTACCAAAAGAGATCTAACTTTGTTGTAAAGGATGACTGCTCTGGTACTTTCCACTAAGCGGTGAGCCTTAGCGAAGTGAATGGCGTACGTACGGCACCGATGAGCAACTGCGCTGCGTCTTCCGGCAGAACGTCTGCTCTTGTGAACTGTCCCAAATTCTTGGTATGAAGGGAATCGTCCATAATAATTTCACTAAAAAGGTGCTTGCGTTCTCGTAATGAGATGACATTTGCGGGGCATGCGATACCTCCTCTTATACTCTGCTAGCTGAATGGAACCCAAATAAGCATGTCTGAGTGTTCGTTAGGTGCAAAGAAAGCTGCGAAAACAAATTAATACCAAACATTAAGACCGAAAATTAGGTAAAACTGCGTCCTTTGTTATGACTGCTTTTGGGTCAGTCCAACTACGATTAGCTGTGGGCACGTGTGATGTCCGGCACATTCCCCGTCTTAGATTCCACTTCCCATACAGGAAGGAACTCCGGATGTAGGGCGGTTGCCAAGGGAGATCAGCGACGTTGCGGTAAAATATATTTGCAGTCACACAGAAATTCGATGTCTGTCACCATTCGCTAGTCAAAGCTTTACTAACAATGAAGGGAAGTTGGCCATGGAAAGAAAAATAGCTGAATGAGGGGCTTAAAAGGGGAAGGAGAGAAAGGCTGTGCAATAAATTATTTATTTGTTTAACTTCCGATTCTGGTAATGCTTCATTCAGCATCTCTCACATCGTATTGGCCAACCTTTAGGCCATTATAGACCCTCGCCAAACCTCCTGTACTCTGACAGTCCATTCATCCAAAGGATTAAATCTTCTTTTGCCTTCTTTAAACTTTTAGGTGGCGGCACAACAGAGTTACAACCCACTTGTAATTGTATAATCTTGACATTTGTAAACTTTACAAAATTACTGGTAACTGATAGTCAGTGCCATCAGCTTCGATCCAAACATGGCACTCTTAATACAGAAAAAGTGAAAGGAAATTGTGGTCTGTTGGGCGCCAATATGATGCTATAAGCTAGCTCTAAGTAAAAACAAATTTGTTTAAATGGACCAGCTCCTATTTTGTACTACAAGGTGCATGCAGTTCTCAAATTCAAGGCGATAATTTGCTGTTAGTTATTGCGAAAAGGTTTGCTTTGACGCTCTCCACAATCCAACAATAACTGTTTAATAAAAAGGGCCCCGAAAGAAATAGCAATGAGTATTTCAAAGAGCACATTCTTTTTTAGCATATATCAATTTGATGGATCCTAACTGCATTAGTGAAATAGATCTGAAAAAAGCTAGCATTTTCTCCCTCGGTTCCCTCACTTCTTCCTTTTAAACACAGATTTAACCGACTGATAATTACGTTCACGAAGCTAATGGTCACCTTTCCGATCACCAACCCCTTGAAGGGCATCACCACCACTACCATCATTATTACTACCACTACATAGACTGCTCCATCACCCCGCTGTCGACTGCCTTTAAAATTTAGGCCTGCACCCAGGAGGCCAGGAGAGGGAGGGGCATGCGAGAGCAGTTGTAAAGTCCGAGGGAGGATGCATGCGTGTGGTGTGTGCGTGTGTGTGTGTGTGTGCAAAGAGCGGACTACCGAGACTACAGCTTCTGATCGGGCATAATGAAGACAAATTCACACCGGATGTAAAAGGCCTCGGTCCATATGGCGCTTTAAAATCAAACCACACGACTGGGCAGTTGTTGTGGTGGTCGGAACATTGTTCGAATGAGGGGAAGAGGGGAGAGGCAGGAGGAGCGAGGGGTGGAGAGACCGTTAAAAGTTCCTGAACTTCATTTTTTAAAAGGGGTACCAATTCCAACCTACCTACAGTTACCGGCATTTTAAAATAAATGAGCATGTCTAGCTCTCTCTCTCTCCCTCTCTCTCTCTCTCTCTACATTTAACAGCCAAAAAATGACATTTGTTGGGACTGTTGCAATTGAAAATGAATAAGAGGTTTGTACCATTAGCTTCGATACAGATGCCCGGAAAAAGCTCAAAGATTTGGTGAAAATTAGTGGCTGGAGAACATGACTATTTGTTGTTTTGGTGATGTGATCTGACGAGTCTGCAGTTCATTTAAACAGGTATGTGTATCAAGGTGCACTTTTAACACGCTGGCCTTGTCTTCATCATGAGGTTGAAATTACGTTTACCGAATTTTTTTAGAAAATAATCGGATTAAAAAAGATAAGTACAAATCGTGGGTACTTTTGGTGGAATTGGGATTTTTATGCTACAAGGCTTTGCACAATCCACTCCTTAAAATACTCGCTAACATTTTAAATCCCATCGGTGCTCACTGTAAAGCAACTTATCATTTATTCGAAAAGGTTTTCTGCATACTATGTATGATAGTTATCTGCTAACCGTTAAATTGAAATCACTACGACTCGGTTGAGTTGTTGCGCTTCTACTACTGTTTAAAGTAAATTCTACAGTCAATTATGTGGGATGCCCATGACTATGTCAACAGTGTCACAAATGTGTGCCGGTCCATGTCGATGTAGCAAATTTGCTTAAAGAGGACTGAAAAGTCTTTTAGGTAGCAATAAAATGAGGAGAATTAGGGTCAAGTAAGAACAAGGGAACAAGTGTGCCATTGTGAGCGACTTGGTGCTAACTCTTACCCAGCATGACAAATGGGGCCCACCTTTCCGGTTTTCCCGACTGAACCTTTAGCGTTGGACATTTGATTCACACCTCAAAATGATTTAAATTGCCTCATGACAATAAGAGTGACGGGACAAGTGCAATTGGTGTTTTTTTACGCTTAACTTACTCTTTCAATCGGATGAAGAATGAAATGGGAGGCGATAGAGATGGCAAAGCCCCAACTGACTAACAAAATATAGCGTAAAATGGTAAAGGCTTTGCTTTTCAGTGGCACAAATGGGGTGGCAGGCCTTAAGTTGAACCCACTACCTGCAGCCGGGGAGAAAAATACAAACTTGTACATTTTTTCAAGCTTGCAAAACTTCTTCCTCTTGCCTCTTTACTTTATGTGTGCGTTTGTCAGGTTGACTTTGCCCACAAAACTCCATACCGAAATAGTAGCAAGCAATGACAACATTAACAATTTGTCGTAGTATAAAAACACACAAGTGGAAGTGAACATAAGTTGACCATCGTTTTTACAATTAAGACAAAGCAGAACCATTACAAAGATATCCAAAACAGGCATGACTGATTGTTCCACTTGACTTAATGTGGTGGTCTTAGAGCCTTTAAACTGTTGCAAAGTAAAGGCGTATTAGTTTGGTTGACTGTTATCAAATTCAGAGGATATAAGGAGGGTTGTTGAGTGTTTTTTGGTTTAACTTGAGGTCCTCACATTCTAAAATGCTAAGGTGGACAAGTTTGGCAAATTAGGTAATTCATAAAGAAAATTGTTTTCCTGCTAGAGGAAGAGAAAATGTGGCATCCATTCAAGATATTGTAGGGTAACTAAATCGTCAAGGTAAAGTGGATGATCGGAATAACAGTGAGATGTCTAAAAACGTCAAAATTCTAAGTTTTAAGTTTGTCCTTTTAACTTAAGTTGACAACTGCATCATGATAGAGGCGGAAATTTGGAAGAATGGAGGCTGGGCTTAAATACCTTCGTTATCAAAGCTAACCTATGCTTGAGGAATAGGAATGCATATGAAGTGAAGTGGTAGCCTTCTACCAGGCCCTAATCTCCGACCACGCTAACTCATACCTGAGTGCTTGAGAGTCCCAGTTCGCCAGCGATCTGATCTCTGTCGGCCGGAGTGAGATATTTCTGTTTACTGAAGTACACTTCCAATTCAGCTAGTTGGAAGGAGGTGAAAGTGGTGCGAGTCTTGCGTCTCTTCGGTGCTCGGTTGCTCATTCCACTCCCCGAGCTCAACTCTCCTGCCATAGAATTTCCAGACATTTGTCTTTGACACGGTTTGGCTGCATCATTGAAAAATAATGATTGTGATGGTGTCCACGACCTCTCTAAGCAATAATGTTAAAGTGATCTACCAAAATATGATTCATGGAGGCGTAAAACAATCTCCTGTTCCCCAATCATGCTGCCAGCCCTAAAGTTTAACAGACTATAAACAGTGCATGGGAGAGATGCAAATTACTGTCCATTAGGTTGCCGACTAGGGGAGCTATAATGTTGAGAAATTATTCAGATAGAGTTACGGTAAATAAGGCAGTGCTTCTAGGTTAATGAGACTCTAGTCCTTTCATGTCGCGGTTTGCGTGATTTTGCAGCTGTTTGCTGTACAGAATCCACAACTGGTATGCATTGACACGTACAGCTCACGCACATTCCGCTAACAACTTGTTGACTGGACTAATTGGTGTAGGAATATGAGAAAATTGCCCACCTTGGGAGCGATAGTTTTAGCAGTTGATTTTAATACACAAAAAGAAAATACGTTATTATTTGAATAGTAAAGGTATTCTGAATATTGTTGGTGTGATGTCATGTTTGTGGATTAAAGTAACGAGAAGTGGATTTCCTTACCTTTTGGTAATTCGTTTGTGTTGCCTAGCTGATAGGTTTTGGATAGCGTCATTTCAATGAGAGAATTCAAAGCGGGTGTAGCAAACTCGCGCTGATTAATACATTCTACCGTCTGGTCTCTTGACTCTTCACTAGCAGAAATTGTTTTCTTTGGCAATGAACTCGAGGAAGAAGGCAGTTGAGACGCGGAACTTGAAGATGGTAGTGGTGGTGGTGGTGGTGGTGGAGGAGGTGGAGGCCAGATAATTCGATTCGACGTACCAATGGCTTCCTGTGACACGTCAATTTTGCCACGTGCCTTTAGAACACAGGTGAAGAAAATTTCTAAGAGGTGATAAAACTCATGCACATTTGCACTAATTTGCTGTATGTGGGAAACTGGTTCAAACGCGCTGGAGAAACTGCCCTCCTGTTCGGAAGGCCTCTTCTGAGCCCGTATAAGTGCCTGCTGAAGCAGGTTGTTGGAAGGCGCCCCGTTAATTAGGAGGTGGGAGAAATCCCGTCCAAAGTGGAACATAATGAGTGTCGTTTGGACCACACTTGGACGCGGAAAGGTTATTTATCTTGCCGGGAAATTAGCCGATGCCCTGCCACCACCATTGCCATTTTCACCTAGGCCCACCCTGATTGGTTGAAAATTTTGACACGCGCACTAATGGCCAATTGGTGGGAGACTGTCAAGTTTTGGCCACAATTACATCATTGCATTGTCTGTCAGTGACACTGGTGTGATTTATTCATGTAAATCACAATTTCTGCCAACAAATAATACGCGGTTATAAAAAATAGCCAGAGTCAAATTAGCTCTATGAAATAGTTGTATGAAGTGTACCGCTAGTATCCGAAAAACATTATTAACCAAATAAATTTTTACGCAACAGGTGTATATGAGATGTTCAAGACAGTGGAACCATTAGTCTTTACTTTTACTATTATCCGTATACTTGTTTTATAAGTAAGCTAAATAGGCTTAACACGAGGACAATGATTACATGGAATGAGTGAACTTTTACTATGCATTTCATTTAAAATATCAGTTAAAAGCTATGCTGAATAAGTAAGCACGGACAAATGGGAAAATCGCGAGTAAAACCAAACCCGGACGATGGGGAAAAAGATATGAAACTCACTATTAATACTTTCTGATAATTTGTTTGAAAAGATATACTTCGGAGTCTATGGAGTTGAGCAACAGTCTGTTAAATACCCTTACTCAGATTTTTTTCCTAATTGCTCTTGACTAGGCACACACCACCGCCAGAACTTATGTGGAATGTAGTTGAACACCACCATTCTAGCTGCGCTAGTTCAATCCGCATCCCTTGGCAGAGGAGTGCTCATAATTTTCTCCCCCTTTCGCATTTCACAACCTCCCATTGATACCATCCAAAAGTGTACTGTCGTAACAGCAAATACAAGTTATTTTGGGGTCCAAAGATGAGACACATAGTTAGTGCATCCGTTGAAGGATTTAAGGGCCGAGGATAACCATTCAACGCATAAGCAACTTTTCAGAGTGCTTTGTGCTGTTAAAATTGGCTAGCTTGGGTACGGCGTGGTGATGATGTATGCAGTGCACGATCGCCACTTAACCACCATGGAATCTATACACCTCTGACTCCGTGATAACATTAAATTTTATTCATTTTCTCGCACTTAGCAGCAAGGCCGATTGGAGGCGCATACTTTAACATCCACATCCTCCTTAAATTTACGTCTTCAATTTGCAGTACATTTGTGGAACATGCAACAAAAACAAAAACAACAACAACAACAACTTACGTTTCTCTTAAGCAGACCTTATTGTTAAAGCTGTGTGACAATGTAAGTATTTTTAAGTTGCACATTCATCTTTGTGGCGAAGGACGTAGGATAGATTTTGAATAGGTTAAGAAGCTGCTTCCTTTAATTCGAATTCCATGCTGCATTATCTACACATTAGAGTTTGGCTCCTGCTAAGCATATAATCGGAATCGCTTAACACGATTGCCAATTTTGTCGCAAGTCTAAAGGACGGAAGGGAGGAGAGCCAAATGTTGGGGGGACATTTTTGACCGTCCGCACGAAGTCAGAGTCATTATTTACTACGACTTCAAAGCAGTCATAAACTTTTATTCCGAGACTTATCAATTAGAGCGGTAAATTTGAGATCTGCTACGAAAAATAGTTGGTAGGTTAAAAATGAACTGTATTGATGTAAATTGTACCTTTACTCCTAGCGTTAGCTCCAAATGCATTGGATCTAAATGATTTAAGTGTCGCCTAAAGCTGCGTGGGCTACCACTGCCGGTGCTTACGGAAAATACAAGCTTCAGCTTGTAGGTTGCGGTCAAAATTAACAGAGGGATAGAAGGTTAGTGTACTGATGTGTTATGCTACATTTTTTGGAAGCAATTAAAGCGTATAATTGTGATTCAGGACTCCTGCAAAGAGTGCGCTCAAAGGCCTTCTTTGGATTTACTCACATATTAGTTGACTGGTACTTTTGTAAAATGTTTGAGGGACCACCAGAGGACCGCAAAATCTACACAGTAGAACGTCTGTGTTGACTTGTTTTAGCAGCCTTGACAAATGTGCTAGCTTACGTGGGGGGCTAACGAGGTGGGGAGGTAGAGGGAGAAGGAAAGGGAGGAGACGACCGCTCACCCGCCTTCGCCTTTGTTAGAACTCTGGGACGACACAACAGTTGTCCCTGCCTCGTTAGACCCGTCCTGCCGGAAAAATAACAACACCGCCATTAAACGGGTCAAGTAGGGTTAATTAGACAGTCGTCGTCTTCAACACAGCTGCGCTGTCAGGTTGTGCGCACATACGTAAGCGTGTGCACGCTGCCGGACGAGAATAGAGGAATTCCTATGGCAAAAATGCCGCAACTGGGACTTCACTCGCATCGTGATCAAAGGCCTTTAAACTGGTAGTTGGGAAGGGAATTTATTAATACCAGTGCCATTTCCAATCCTCAAAGAAGGGGTGCACTTTAAATTGCTCGAGAAACTATTTATTATTCTAGTCAAAAGTATCACGAAGGCGGTGGACCGTGAATGCAGCCCAAAAATGTAACTCCTCCCTTTTTGCTTCCTTTTTTATATTTTATGCTTATTTACTCTTGGTGCAAGCTTTGAAATCCCACAACGAATTTCGATCTCAGTTATGTTAGAGGACTATGCACGTTTATGGAGGAAATTTCATTTCGACATGAGGGCTTACATCATATATATTTAATAGATCTCAGATGCAATTGTTTGATCTTCAGCACAAGTGGCATGATGAAGCCTATTTAGGAGGTTGGATAAGCAGAAGAAGTGTTGTGAGGATGGGACAATGTGGGAATTGGGAGAGTAGATGGATGGCAAATGGATTTTTTTTTGTGAATAACAGCGATCACAAAAGTGCGACAAATAAAAGTTTATGTGCCTACTTAATACCGTATTGCCATTTTTGATGTGTGATGGTGAGATCCGTTTGCGCAGGTTTTCCGTGCCTACAAAATAAATCGTCCCCTTGACTATGTCAAGTATGATTGGAAGTCATGCAGTATCGTGGCTGAATCAAAACCACAAAAGTCCCGAGGTACCTCCACGCACTTAATGACGAATGCTTTAGTAGGTTTCCTACCTTAGAAAAGGTGTACTGGTGACTGGTAATTTTAATCGGATGAATGACTTCCAAGCATTCCACTTTACATTGCACTAAAGAAACTACGGTCATGCTTTCTCGTTTTTTTGCCTTCATGTCCATCTAAAATTTAGAAGAGGTGAGGGGTGAAGAACTAATTTTTCTGCAAGTTAAGTGAACATGACATCCAATTAGCACCGCCACTGAGGACAGGATGCAGCACCAACAACCTTGAAGTACCATGGTAATTGAAATTTAGAAGTACTAAAAGGAAAGTTTACCAGAGGCACGTAAACGTTCAATGTGATTAGCTTCGAGTTATTCCCCTAAAATAAATCCTTCCACCTAGATTGCAATGCCAAGAAATGCTGTGAGGTGAAATAAGGCAGTGGTGCATATTCAGTTTACACTTCAAAAATGCATAATTTTGCCTGAATTAAAATAAGAAGAAAAAACTACCTTAAGGAATAATATGGGGTATTTAAGTATTTAGACAATGATTAGCCACTTGGTAGTTCCACACTGTTCCACAACGTTCGAACTGACTCTAGTTTTTGTTGACTGAATAAATTAGCATTGCATCATTTATAACAATTATGGAAACCAAATGAAAATGGTTTATTAATCACGGTAGTGTCAGGATGACATGACGCCGGTGTGCAGCGTATCAACTTATAAACGGGTTTGGGGAGAGATGGGGAGGGAGAGCAATGGAAGAGACGGGGCGACAATGTGGGGGAGCTATGGGAAGTAGGAGGAGGAGGAAGAGGAGGACGACGAGAATGTCCTCTCATTAACGTGCATGTCCATGCCCAGACAGCAGACACGCACATTGGGGGAGACGGTTAGTTGCCATCATGCCACATCCAACCTCTGTCTTTCTCGTTGCGGAGAGTAAAAAATCGAGAACGAGCCTGATGCTACACCACACAAAGTATCATTTCGCCTCTTTCTCTCTTCCACTAGCAGATAAAAAGGTTTCCTTGGAAAAAGGGTGCTCCGTCATGACTCTACCCTTAAAGATTAATTTACTAACAATGCTGTGTGATTTTCTGATGGCACTGCAGGTAAGACAATGAAGAAAAGTTGGTTCGGGAAGTAGTGTTGGAATTTAGTAAACATTTGATAACTGAATGGTTAAACTGGCTCATTTAAAATTCAAACAAAATCGACAGTGAACTTTTTTGAAAGTTGAAGCACTCATCATCACCTGACATTCTTCAACGTTTTTCTCGTTTCATCTCCACCATGAGGTATTTATTTAGCGGAAAGCAATCAGAAATTAACTTTGCTTGGTTATCCCAAACGACTGTTATGCAATCAGTTGTCTGGAGGATTTGTTCTCCTGCCATTATTGTGCCTTAATCAATGCTCCGTCAATTCTACCCATTATCGAAGTGACAGTAAAGCATTAACATGGACTGCGGCGTAGGATTGTTTTATATTCTTCCTCTTGTTGACTCATCATTCGGTTTCCCAACCGTATTATTACTTTTATTACGCATGAATCCACTGCAACGCCTTATTTTTTGTTTAATTCTTGGCTATGGTAAAAGGCTGTCAAGGCTCTAGCACAGCACTCCAGCAGGGCTTTCCAGCATGAAGACTATGTTGGAAGTCTCTACCCCATTGGGGGGGTAGACTTCATACATTCTGTCCCAGTGTTATTTCGTCCCACGCTAACGAAATGTTTAGGGTGCTGTAGTTGAAGTTGGGTAGGTACAAGTCTTGAGTTGGTAGATGACACATGTGAATGCTTGGGGAAAGGAAGACCCGGTTGATTACAATAATTCTAAACTGATACTTGATTTTACTTGTGAAAAAATGACGTCAAATCTTACATTTGTTGATAAATCAGTGCGGAAATATTCTTCTGTTATAGTATCGTAATAAATATACCTT